GTACTTAGCCAAACCCAAACAAACAATATTATGGTTTACTGCATTTTGTGAGTACAGCCTTATTTTAAATGGCCCTTGGCATAAGACTTTAGTAGAAGCCATGATGATGTCACATACATGACATAATCACACAATTACATCATTTGTGTTATGTCGGCATGACACATATAATATTCTCCTCCCCTACTTGTTTGTCTTCTGTATAGACATCCATGACCCATGGGTAGAGAGAACTTGGAATCAAAGAGACACTTTTGAAAAGGTTGTTGTGTATGTGTATATGTGTGTTAAATAGGTGGGTTTTGTTTTTAGGGATGACCTTTTTGATGGTAGATTGATAGACAACCTTGAAACCGGTGAAAATGACCTTGGAGGTGAAGAGGGAATAGCAGTGAAGAAGAAATCTAAAGGATTGATGTTTAAAATTGCATCCAGAAGTGAGTGCACTGTCAGGGAACTTGTGCTGATTGTAGCGTTGATGGGCATGGAGAAATAATAACTATTGTTAGGAGTAAATCATCATGTTGTGAACATTGTAATACGTTATGGGCCAAAGGGGAAAAAACAAATCTTTTTTCCTAGCTTGCAGTCCTCCAGACATTTTGGAAAATTCCCATAATTCTTAGTCAGTTCAGCCAAGAGCCTTGATTGTTGAGAATCTGGGGAATTTCTAGAGGAGAAAAAGCTGGAAAAGGCCTATGTAAGTGATGTCAAATTTCCACTGTATAGCTTCCCTATTTGCTTCTTTTTAAAATAGAGGACAAGGTAGTATTTTGTTATGTTGGCCTGCAACTCTCCCCACCCCCTTGCTTTATGGTAAATTTCTTAGAGATTTAAATAGTAAACTTTAATACAGCCATGAACAACTTTGATTCTACTCACACTTATCTCCAAAGAAGCAATTTCACTTATGCATAGATTGATGCGTTTTTTGTGGCTATGGCTTTTTCACATTTTCTGCGCTCTTGCGCTTCCTTTTTTTTTTAACCCCAAATTTGAGGTACTTCATTACTACGAAGTAGACAAACTTTAAAACTTAGGTTTAGCGTAAGTGGAAATATAGGTTGGAATGTCTACCCAAAAGGAAGAGACCAGAAAGTCTGATCCAGCCAAGCAGAAAATCTGATCCAGACAAAGCAAAACAGCCAACATCCCCTATCTTCTCCAAAACTGTATGGCTATATCCAAGGCTTCCAGAGGTGGATACAAAGATCAATCATAGGCTGTTCTAGTCCACAACTTAGGTATTTATAACATATGCTCTTTGCACAGTCAGCAAAACAAAAATGCACTTCCCACTCATCTTTTGATGCTTAAATCTGTGGGTTATGTCAAGCGGGAATCAGTAGCTTAAGTTTTGATGTGCATCTATACCTGGAGAGGTTCAGCTGATTGATTTGTTTTTGGCCCCAGGATACAGGACTGTGGATGCCTTACTTCAACGCATGTTTGAAGCAGAGATAGCTCCAGAAGAAGAAGGTCTTTCACTTGATGAGATCTTAAATCTTTCTCCAGACGAGACCTACCCAGGGAACCCTACTTTTGACCATGCTGCATAACATGGAGAATGAGTGGAAAACTGCAATCTTTTTAAGTCTCCTTTTATAATAATTCTCTAGCTCACTAGGTACCAGCTTTAGAGCAATCACCAGTCCCTTCTGTTACTTGAAACTAAAAGATCATTGGTGCTCTCTTCAAGTTCTTCCCTCCAATGAATCAAGCATTCCAAGCTTTAATATGTACAGTATAAAAGATGAAATGCAGTATTTTTATAAATGGAAAGCACATTAGATAAGCCTGAGGTATTTTGATTTCTCCTAGATGCTTAACATATTGCTTGAATGCCTAATATTGAAAGATATATTACTGAATGCAGATTTGTCCACTACAATCCAGTTTTTCTTGGCCACGTTATCAAGTAAGATCGGGGAGATATCCAGTAATAAAGGTAGGAGATCAGATGCCACTTACTACTATTCCTCATCCATCCACCTCCCCCCAAAAGAACTTATGTTGTGGTAGGCCAACCATTTCTCTTTTGGCTTTGCTTGTAGATGCTCTCTTCTCTGAAACCCAGCACTTGACTCATAAAAACGCATCCAGGCGTGAATTATTTTACTAGTCAATTTAGTAGTATCTGAATCCTAAATATCAAGCACTCATTCGCATAGTTAAGGGGCTGACGCTGCCCCACCTCTCCTGCCCCTCCCATTGTCTGATGTAAAGTGCCGTTTCCTGCATTCCATTCATCCAGAGAGGGAAGATACTTGATCTGTTTTTTTTTTCCAAACAGATCAGTCTTGAATTTTCCACAACATTCTGAACATTACAGTATAATTCCTGGCTCAAATTGTGTACAGTATCAAAATTCAAATATATGAAAGCGTAATTGTGAGGGTGCATTACAAAAGAAATATGTATTTGTATGTTTAACTTTAAAAGAATCAGATTGAGGCAGAAATTAAATGGAAAAGCTTAACTTAATACATGCATTGTTTAAATGAATCAGAAATGAGTCATTAATTTTTTGCAGATGTATAGTTTATTGTAAGCCACCTTGAGGATGATTCAATTGAAAACCAGGTTATAGTAAAATCTATCATCAGTAGGAACAGTTTTGAGCTTCTACACCTTTACTTGAGTTTCTGGGTGTAATACTCACTAGCAGTAGTTCAACACGTTATGTGCCGGGAGAGGGATAAGTAGCCATTTAATGGCTGGGAGATGCATTTAAAATATCATTGAAACATCTAATGATATTTTGGAAAGAAATTATATGAAGAAGCTCAGGGCTCTCTCTGTCTGTAGGTAACTGAGAGCAGATGGGACCAAATTTGGTGTGGCAGGAGAAGCAACACAAAGATCTTCAAAAATGGCTTCAAAGAAAAAGAATCCACCAATGCCTCCCTATGGGGGAGAGAGGCAGTGGGGGTTGTGGTCTTAAGCCCACTTTCCTCCTCATTTCAGCTAGGTGGAACGGCTATTAAGAGGTTGGAAAGAATTCTAGAAGTCATGCTCTGCATGTTTTCCCTAATGAGTTTTAAATCTAGGAGGCTTATTTGCACCTCCTTTGTTTGCTTTATGTGCACAGACCCACTTCAAAAATCATGGTATCGTATGGCAGGGCTTTCCCCCAGATATTGGCAGTGCAATTCAAGGTTGCCAGGGTGGGAGCATGCAGAAAGAAAAACGCTTTTGGTAGGGATCCCTAATCTGTAAGATACAGATGAAGTCTATTCCATTTCCCTATTAAAGTATGAATCAGAGTACTACAGTGAAATGGAGTTTCTGAATTTTCTCCAACTACAGAATTTTAAAATGTTGCTGTATTGCAACGTTTAGGGAATACAAATATTAATATGCAGATTACCCTTTGATCTAAATGCTAGCCTGGGAGGTAATTGGTTCAGTTTTATCAGAATGAGGGACAAATTATTCTCCAATAGTTAACTCAAAATATAATTTGATACCAATAAATGCAAGCAGTGAATTTATACAATGCATTATTCAAATATAAATAAACATTATGGGAATGCTTACTAGAAATGTGTGTGTTTCTCAATTCTAAGACCCCAAAGCAGCCTTGAACAAAGATATTCCGAGTAACTCCTAGTAACAATGTAAGGAGTGCCATTTCACTTGTGTTCAAGTTCCACTCCCTAACTTCAGCGTATGTGTGCTTTACTCGACAATAGGCTCTATGTTCATTTAGTGCAATTTACTATTAGAACATAGTAATGCACATTCTTTTTGCTGGAGTAGAAAGAAAACTCATTTCCATTCTGGAAAACCTGCGCTTGCCTTTCAATCTAAATTGTTAGGGGTTTGAGCAAATCAGGTCCTTCCTCCCATCGCTAGTTTTGGGGTTTGCCCTCAACTGACAGCATTCTATACCCCTCCAAAAGAATGTAGCAATGCAGTATCTTCCAGACTAACTTCCTATAGCCATTACTAATGGAAGCTTTTTTCCAAAGTATTCAGTGGATGATCCCACTAAAGAGTTTGTTCCCCTGCTATACTTGCTCACAAACTCTTGATTTTTCTCCTTCAGCTTATAGACAGGTAGTTAGTCCTCACGTACTGACTGCAATTAGGACCAGCAACTCTGTCGCTAAGCAGTACAGTCATTAAATGAAATATCACATGACCATACCTGACTTATGTCAGTTCCAGCTGTGGTTGTTCAGTGAATCACCCGCAGTCATTAAGCATGTCATGTGACCACGACTTGCTGGCAGCTTCCTCATTGACTTTGCTTGTCAGAAGCCGACTTGAGGACTGGTCGTAAATCTCCTTTTTCAGTGCCATCATAACTTCAAACGGTCGCTGAATGAGCAGTCGGTAAGTGAGCTACCTGTATATCGGTGGGTCTCTGGAGTTAAACATAGAAGAAAAACTATCTTTGTTTTTGGGGTGGGCTGGGCTCATTTTGCTATTAAAGATAGCATTGTCAAAGGAATTGTGATAAGTAAAAATAAGGAATTGTGATAAAGGGTGTGTTATAACTATAAGACAATTTGGCTTCTGCTTTTATATATTTATGCAAGAAACTTTCTGTTAGTCTAAGAGACTACAACTCCCATCATACTCAACTTGGAAAACCTATCACAGTTGGAGAGCTTCAGACATAGAAAAGTTGGTCCATGGTCAGTACTTAATGGCTAAGTAACAGCTTTAATATAATGTAATTATATTACTTTAACTCAAGATGTGGTATCAGTATTGTTATGCTATTAGATTTGTCTATTACACCCTGATGCCTTCTGTTATTTGCTATTATTCTACTCTGTTTTACCTGAAAAATTAAAATCAATGGCTGGACAATTTTCCTTTGAAAGCACATTTTATTGTTTACAAACTATCCATAGGAAAAAAATGCTGGAGTATTTAGATATTTAGATGCGAGTTGCACAAACACTGACTTCTTCACCCGTCTCGATTTTCATTCTCAAGCTTTGGATCTCCTCATGTTGAATACATTTCTTCTCATCACTCCACTCCCTCTTCCCTATTTTTCTGCTGCCCAGTTTCAGAAAGAGTGTTCATCTCCAACGTTAATATTTTGTGAGAGGTATTAGCAAATGGAGGCCGTTTGTCAAATCAAACCATTAACAGTGCACTATTTAAGCAAGTGCAGCTCCATCCTTCTCCAGTCATTGAACCAAAATTAAACTGCCGCTTGATGAAACAATTACATTTCAGAACTTTTTCAGAGTTTCACAAGAGTCCAGCATTTACTTTCGTGATCGTTTGTTTTCAACAAGCCACACTGCAAGCCTGTTACGGAGAACCATTATTTTATTGGAATAAGTTCTTAAAAATAAGTCTCTCAACGTTGCCCGTAAAGCTCCCAAAGAAGGCAAGTGGTTGCAGTCTTGTATATTCAGCAAAGTAAAGAAGAAATCAGTCCAGACTTCTCCATTAGGAATCCTAAGGAATAAGGGGAAAAAAATAAAAACTGAAGCACCCTTCCCCAGATGTGGCCAGATATGTCTATCAGAACCAAGATCACAAGTGGCTTGGAAAGCTCTGTCAACCATTTCAGCAGAGGAAGTGTAGCTCTATCCAAAACAGGCTGTAGAATGAATCCCAAATCAGATTTCCTACTGACCAATACCAGCTCTGGGCTGTTGCATCAACAATAAAATGTTTCAGTGAATCCTCAGATTTCTTCTGGGTTTCAGAAACAGATATATACTGTGCTCTGATCTCCATCCCTTTATCTATTTTTGTCTTCTCAATGACATTCCACATTGAATTGCTACTGAATATGGTGAAAGGTTAAAGGATTCACTGTATTTCTAACCTTGGGAGCCCTTTACATGAAAAATAAATGTGCTGGACTAATCACCTTTTTTGCATTTATTCTATTGGCTGTCATAACTTGAGCTATTGGAGGGAATTACTAAAACTCCTAATGTTACTTTCTCTATCTATTAGCATAATCAGGATTTATTAAAAGTGCCTTAAAGTCACTCTGTACAGCACAGTTTTAATGTAGCACAGAAATAATAATATATCTGGGGAACACAATATTAGTGGCATTTAAGGGGCTTTTTTGTTTTGCTTTGGCGCTCTCCATTTACTGGAGTGTACCCTTAAATGTAATTCTTCATTTCAAAAGAAGAAAAGTTGCATACTCTTGCAGAAGATTCGAAGTGTACAAATAGAAATTGTCCAAGAACCCTGGGTTTCCCAAGTGTGATTATGGGAAAGGTTCATAGCATCTTCTGTAACATGCCAGGAACAATTCTACAGTAGAGACAATATATGGATCTGGAAAGTTATTACTGAAATAATGTAATTATAGACCAACCTCCTAAAGACACCGTCAGGTTTCCAGATCCCTTGCTCATTTTTTACTTTCATATATGTGCCAAATAACATGCAGTATGCTGTTGCAGCAATTCCAAAATAATCGGTCTAAGGAATAAAAACATTATAAAAACATTTATTTGTATTTAGCTTCAGTTGTTTAAAAAATCTACTTTTAATCCCATCTTCCCATGAGTATGATCCAATTGCAAATAATCCCCTTTCCCTGGTTTATTTTTGATACCCCTCTGAACAGAGTTTCTGGGCCAAATCAAGCAGGGAGCTTCAAGGCTGAACAGGATCTGAATTCAGAATGTTAGGCATGTTGATAATTACATTTAGTATTATTGTATAGCAGGTGTACTAAAGAAAAATATCTGAATGAAAAATTACATCTCTGAACTAAAAGTAATTTTTCACTATGATCAGCAAAGTCTGTAGTTACTAGTGACATAGGCTACATAGCATAGTATGAAGACCATGCATACCTGGTAATTCCATGGCTTGCCTGCCATCATTTCAATACATTGAAATCCAGATGTTGCACATTTTCCTGTGAAAGTAGTTCCTTCGGGAAACAGGTTCATGTCTATGCTTTGGCCAAAATCAATTATTGTCAGGCCATGAGATGTACCATCAATGTCACATGTGTCATTGTCCAAAAACCTTGTTTCAAAGCAATTAAGAATGATTACCATTAAGCAATGCAACAAGTCAGATTAACAAGAAAAGCTTTCAACAAATTCACAAGTGAGATACTTGCCTTTCACCAAATATAAAATTGTCAGGTTTAATGTCACCATGAATTATCCCACACTTGTGAAGCTCTTCTACCATGTGCAGGATTTTTATGGTGAAGTAGATAACCAGAGCTTGGGGCATCACCTTCTCTGTTAGTTTTTTGTATATATTTATGGTGTTCTGCAGAGGAGAGAGATGAGAAGGAGAAGTTTAAACATCACGTGGACAAATGGATATGCCTGAAATCCTATGCATGCTTATCAGACAGCAAATTCCACTGAGACTTTGGAGAAAAAGTGCACCCAACTGGTTTACAAGAATATACCCACCTAGAAAGATTTCACACATACATTCCACTAACAATGCTTTCTAAAAAGCTAAACTATTTTAATTTGGCCAAATAATATTTTCTGTTAAGGAACAACTAACTCTACTTGCAAATCATAACACATACATTCATCTGCTAGGGGGGGGTCCAAAAGGTCGTAGGTAAAAAAGGGGGTGGGTCTTCAATTGTGCAATCAAAGCAGCTTTCTTGACTCTCTTTTTACCCCACGCCCCCAAAAAAGGTGTCCAGGACCGCAACCCCACCTCCCTTCTGGTCTTTCAAACTGTGACCATGTTTGTGCATGAATATACATAAAGACCAAGGCCATACTTACCAGTAAAGTTCCATAACTGTAAAGCTCCCCAATTAGAATACTTCCATTTTGAAAGAAATGAGCACAGTAGAACTGGATGCAAAGGTGACGCATATCTGGCTTCAGCCTTTCAGTCAGCTGAGCTGCTATATAGAATTCCCAGGGGCTTGCATGCTTCTGTACCTATAAAGGCAATAAACAGTTCTGCTTCACTTAAATGCACAGGAGCCAGGAACCACATAGGAAAATTATTTTCTAATGTTTCAAACAACAATGGCCATAACACTGGCTGGAGTTTGAGGGGCACTTCAAAACGAGGATATACTGACCACCTCTCCCAAACCAGGTGTTTAGAACATTTTTCTAATCTAATCTAATTAATGACCCTGGCCAGAAAAACATCACCCTCCTGACTGCATAAAAGCAGAGTGTGTCCTATGCTATAGCATATGTTTCTAAGGTAGATATGGAACATCCCCGGCTCTACAGGTTGGATAGTCTGCAGAGTCTTACCTATCCAGCTTGTCCAGGCACCCATTTCTCCATTGCTAAATTCTAATCTCACATCAACTAAGCAATGCACAGGAGAGATTACAGGGACCAGAGATTCAAGAAATATGTTTTTTACTGGTCAGGCAGGTGGTTTAATGAATTTTTAAAGAAGATTTTGAAAGTTAGAGTTAAATATAATACCTTCAGTATTACTTTCTGGTTATTCTTAGAGTTGTCCATATCAAGGACGGAAGCTTGATACACATGTGCAAAAGCTCCTTCTCCAAGTAAGCAATCAATGTGGAAGGATGTGGATGCTGAATGAGGACAAGGAAGAAAGAAACATGCAGAATAGGTCTTGGAATATAGCCAGAATTACCCCTTTCCATCTAAATATGGCTCCTCTCAAATCCATCTACAATAGCCTCTCTAAAATTTCAGTGAAAAACAGGTGCCAAAGCACACCAGACCAAAGACCCCTATCATCCAAAATTCTGTTCCTACAATGGCCAAACAGAAGCACAGGAAGCACAGAAACAGGATACATACACTGGAGAAGGATTGCCCTTCTTTTTCAAGATCTCCAGCAACCCAAACCCTAAGTATATTGCCTCTAATCCTGGAAATTCAGCCAAATCCACATAGAGTTTTTACTATGAGAACAGAATGAATGAGATATGAATAGTTACCCTTCCCACAAATCAGGATAGAATTTCATTTCTATTATTTCTTTAAGTGTGTCACTTGTCCTATGAATATCTGCACACACTGAGCTTGCATGTAACGGGAAACCATAACAGGGTCATACAATAATGTTAGGCCCCTTCTTGCCCCACTTCTCCTTCAAGTGGGAAAATGAATTGGAAGTTAGTTCCATTTTAGCAGGTTCTTGCCTTGGAATGATAGTTTAAGTAATTTTTAGTCAGTTTTTTAAATGAGTCAACTGAAATTCTGGACTGCTTCTGTAGTTTATCAACTCACTAGAGTAACCTGCTATCTTTCACCTCCTGTAATTCCAAGCCGCTACAGCCAATGTAGTATGCTCCATTAAAAAAAGAAAAAGTATCACCTTCAATTACATAATTTCTTTTCTTTATATTCTGCAATTTTAGTTCTTGTGCTTTGGCAAGGATTTTTACAATTATTAAAACAAATCTTGCCTTAGAGTCATAAGTGAACACAGCCAAAACAATTGACATGTTGGCTTCATGGCAATAAAATCTTCCACAAAACTTTACTCCTTTAATGTATACAAGTACAATGCAGAGTCCCAATTTCTAATTTTATACTGAAACATGCCCAATAAACCATTAGAACAACCACTTTTTAAAGTCTCGCAGTTCTGAAAAGAATAATACTAAATATGTAATGGGACTTACCTAATTTGAGAACAGTTTTTGGTTTGACAACTGGAAGACCCGACGTCCAATGGAAAGTATTGGGATAAGCACTTATTGGTTTGGGCAGTCTGGACAGAAGCTGGAAGATTAAACTCTCGTCCCAAGGGTTCTCAATGACTTTGTAAGAGAATGACAACTAGTCAAGTTACTGACAAAAATCAGGGAAGTACAAGAAACCCTTAATGACAGGCATTATTAAAATCTGGAAAACTAAACCAAAACAAGACAAACCAGAGAAGAACACCCTTCAGATGTCTGGGCTTCAATTCCCCAAGATTTCAGCAATGGCCATGTTGATTGGGGAATTCTTTGGAGTTATCCACACATCTGAAGGGTGAAGAAGACTAGCATAAAGATCCAGAGCCAAGGAAATCCACATTCCTAGGTGCTGGGATGCAAGCAGCAGCATCTGGACACATACCAAGGCTCACTCCCTGCTAAGATACAAGAAATGATCTACTTAAGAATTTTCTATCTCCATCTTTCCTCTCTAAAATATTCCAGATGGCTTACAAATGCAATACAGGCAGTCCTTGGTTAACAACCACTTGTTCAGCAACTGTTCAAAGTTACAACGGTGCTGAATGAGTGGTATTTATAACCAGTCCTCAAAGTTCCAGCCATCCCAGCACCTCTGTGGTCACATGATCACAATTCAGGCACTTGGCAACCAGCCCGCACTTAACGACAGTTGCAGAATCCCACAACCTGATCGCCATTTATGACCTTCCCTGCAGGCTTCCCATGAGGAAAGTCAATGGGGAAGCCAGTCAGGAAGATTGCAAGTTGCTCCTGTAAGTTGCTCCCACTCCCTCTGCTTTTTCTCCTGAGGAGCCTGGTTATGGAGTAGGAGATCCCTGGGATCTCCTACTCCATAGAATATGCCTGCCCGGCTGTACTTGTGCAGCACCACAGCAGCTACCTATACACCTCCTGCACCCAGCAGCAACCACTCAGCCACTCTGCAGCAGCCAGTTACCTACCCTCCGGCCTGCTTGCAAGCAGCCCAGGACTTGTAACTTCCTGTCAGCTTCCCCACTGGCTTCGCTTATTGGAAGCCATCAGGAAGTTGTGAGGGGGTCCTTGCTTAACAACCCTGATCTTCACTTAACAACAGCAACTGAGGACTGCCTGGATTGCCATCATTAAGCAATGCAGTCACATGATGTCATGCTTTACAACTGCATTGCTTAGCGATGGAAATTCTGGTCCCAATTACTGTTGTTAACTGAGGACTACCTCTACAATACAGTAATCTAACAATTAAAAAACAAAACCTGGCTATAGACAAATTTAAAAACCAAGCCAAACGGTACTATAATTACTAGTAGAGATAAAGCAGTTTTTCTGTACATCCAGAAGTGGAGTTTTCTGTGCCCTTCATTGTCCTGGGATTTCAAATGTGCCAGGCTGTACAATAAACTATTCTTAGACACTATGAGGATTACCTCTTCATCTATTTTAGTTTAAGGAAAGCATTACAATTATTTATTGTCCCATGTTACAGCGGATGTATTTCCTGATGCAACATTTTACCTTTAGCTTGCATCTCTTGGACAGCAGGCACTGAAAGGGTATTGAATGGTGTAGAGGAGGCAAGGTGAGCAGCTTGAACAAAGTCTTCTGGGCTTTTCAGACATGGAGCAAAAGTTTGGTTGCATGGGTTAGCCCAGACAGTACAGTCACTCGTCAGGCCCTCAGCTGGCTGGCTTTCATCCTAAAGGGAAAAACCAAAACCTTTATCATCGTCATCATCAATTTTCTCCCTTTTCTTTAAACACTCAAGATGGCTTATATTGGAATGTCCTCTAATTTTATCCCCTCAATAACTCCAGGAGGTGGACTGGGCTGAGAAAGAGCATTTGGCTCCCAGTCCTCCAATGAGCAACATAGTCAAGTGAAGGTGTGAATCTGAGTCTCCCTGATCAAATTCAACACTGTGCTACACTAGCTCTAATCTTCATTATTCCATAAACTGCACCATTTTCCTTTTTTCTACATAAAAAGGGAAATGTTGAGTTTTCCGAAATTGCATTTTGTTCAATGACAGAAGGATAGTGCTACAGAAGTTAATTTTCTCTGATGAAACCCGGGCCTGCTTCTTCTGGCTATCCCACCCAGGTACACTGGAGCAGTCAGAGCCAAAGGGTTTCTTAACAAACAGCAACTCCATCTTACTGGGATTCAACTTCAGCTTGGCCCAGGGTGCGGATGTATATCTGGATATCGTCAGCATATTCATGCTATCTCATTCCAAACCAACAAATGATCTTTTCCAGCAGCCTCATGTAATTGTTAGAAAGCAGACAGAGAGGGAAGAGCCATGTGGCATCCCACCCTGTAGCAGCCGCTCCTCTGACCTCTCCTTCTACACCATCAACCCTACACTAAGAAAGAAGCAGAACCACTGAAGAAGAGCGTGCCAACTCCTAACTCTGATAGACTGTCCAGAAGAATATCACGGTGGTTCTGAAAGCTACTGAGAGAACAAAAAGGACCAGAAAGGAAGCTCCTCCCATGTCAGGATCCCAGTGTAGGTCATCTACCAGGACAACTAATGTTGTTTCTATCCTATGCCCTGGTCTATGTTGTGTATAAGTAGCAAATTTATCAATTACACAGGTATTCTTATCCCAAACAGTATTTCTCAAATAATTAGACTGAATTTGAGTAAGATAATATAAAGGGTTAGGGTATATTATTGAGTAAGATAATATAAATGTTTCTCTAGACATTGATAGATAGGAATCATTAAACCTTACCCTTTGGGGTAGGATAAGCACTCTTCAGCTGAATGTAATTACCATAATAATTTGTATTTTGTGTAGAATTCCTATACACACATTTTAAAATATTTTCAAAAATTTAATACAATGTTTTGTAAGTTTTTATGGGGTTCTTCAATTCCAAAGTTATCTCTAAAAAAGATACAATTGTCAGTTAGAGGGGGATTTGGATTTTCTGAATCTTGAATTATAGCATGATGCATACCTTTTGATCTGGGTGTCTTCAGTTAGTGCATATTCTACTTTCTGGACCCTTTTGGAGTATTTGAATATAAATCCCTTAGTTAATTGGATTGTTTTGGGTTCAAAATGTAATAGATGTGCTGTATCTTCTCTTACTCTTTATGATGATTTAAAAACATGGCATATTATTTCTGGAAAAAATGTGTTTTGATCCTTGATGCTATGGGATAACCCAGTCCTCAAATTTGATTACCAAAACCAGTTTTATAAAAGATCTGGATGGATGCTGGGATTTTCTCAGATTATGGCTTATACAATTTTAGACTTATTGGACTCCATTGTTTGTACAGAAAAGGAATGAGATGCAACCAGAATAATGCTTCATTAAACATACATTTTTTGTAATATCCTAAAATTATGATGTCCTAGAAAGAAGTATTACTTATATTAATTTGATTTTGAGACAAAGTTTAATATTTTCACACATTCTTTTGAACTATATACTTACTACATTTGACAGCTGGACACGGAAATGGATTCTCCGTGACTCTGTTATTGCCATAAGATTAGTTCTTCAAATTGAAAAGACAAATTTATGACCCCAATTACCTAGTGGATTGAAGACCTGATGTTACCTGCGACTTATAAACAAGTTGCCCTTAGATGTAGAGTACAATTACAATTACAATGAAATATGGTCATCTTTTCTTTAACTGTTCTGTAAAATTTCATACTCACATAAACACACACATATATATAGATGTAGATACATGCACGCACACCCACACACAATTTGTTATATTTTTTTCTTTTTTGTTATTCTTTTTGATATTTTATTTTTTCTCTTCTGATTTGTTTTATTAAATATGTAAAGCAAAAAAAAATAAAAATTAAAAGGTGATTTGCTTACTCTTGGTTTAGCAAGAGTCAGAGTGCCTGTAGAACGTTCACCAAATACTTTGATAGATGTTGACTTTGGGACTGGTTGCGCGAGCCTAAAAATGAAAGGAAAAACATTCAGAGTCATTCTTCAAATGAAACATTTTACATACAGTAAATTTAACTGTCCATTAAAGCAGTTATGTTCAGGAAATCAGACCTGCTATAATAACAGAATCTAATACATCAAGAATAAGTAATCTGCAGGTCCTCCAGATGTTTTGGACTCCCAATTCCCAACACAGCCAATGATAAGAGATTACAAGAGCTGTCCAAAACATTTGAAGAGCTCCCAGTTCCCTGAAACTGACTACAGCCCAGTACGGATAACTGGTGATTACATGAAAATATCCATGTTATTTTCTTGACAATATCAAGGTGGTTTGCCATTGCCTTCTTTCAAGGTTTTTTTTTTTTCAATTTCTCAATCTAGTCTATATTCTTCCAGTTTCCTAGTAGTTAGGTGGGATTTCCCATCCAAGCACTATGTTTGTCCTTGCATAGCTTTTTCAAGATCAGCCAAAGTCAGCTAGCTACTGCCAGTTGCTGTAACAATGTATAGTACAGGAGAAGTAAACATTTGCTATTTCAAGAAGCAAAGAGTGATTTTTTTCTCTAGCTGGTGATGCAAGAAAGCAAAGAAAAAGGGCAAAGATAAAGATGATTACTGTAATGAGAAACTGAAATCTTCATTCAGCAACATGAATACTAGATATAATAGTACAAGTAGTCCTCAACTTACAGTGGCAATTGGGACTAGAATTTCTGTCGCTAAGCAATGTGGTCATAAAGCACAACTGCATTGCTTACCGATGGCAATCCCTGCAGTCCCGATTGCCATTGTTAACTGAATCCCACGGTCATTAGGTGAGGCAACTTCTTGCTGGCTTCCAACAACCAAAGTCAGTGGGGAAGCTGGTAGGAAGCTGCAAGTCCCAGGCTCGCAGGAAGACAAGTGGCTGCTGCTGGGTGGGGGAGGGAGTGAGGAGGTGGATGTGCGGGAGGGTTGGGGAGGTTGTGTGGGGGTTCCCAAGAGGCACCAGGGAGGGTGCACGAGAGGCACTGCATAGGTTGGGGAGGTTGCGTGAGGCACTGCGCGGGTCAAGGAGGGTGCACGGGGGTGCGCAAGTGGCCAGTGCAGTGCGAGCACAGAAGGGCTGGGGGAGGGCAAGAGGGTGGGAGACACTTACCCCAGCAACTTGTGATCTTCCCTGCTGACTTACCCTTTGACTTTCTAGGAAAGCCAGCATGGAAGGTTGCAAATGGTGATCGTGTGATTGCAGGGTGCTTGGCAACCAGTCATAAGTGCAAACAGGCTGCCAAGCACCCAGATTGTGATTACATGACCACAGGGGTGCTGGGATGACTGCAACCTTGAGGACCAGTTGTAAGTCTCCTTTTTCAGCACCGTTGTAACTTTGACCGATCACTGAACGAATGGTCATAAATCAAGGACTACCTGTAACAATTATCATTGCAGAATTTACAAATAAATAGGTTTACAGTGTAATCTAATACAAACTAATGCTCAATTATAAAGAGCATTCTTTGTGATAACGGACACTGATTTCTACAACCCTATCTTACAAATTTCAACTTACTCTGTATTCTCATCCTCAAAAATTGTAAAAGCAGGTAATGCAGCAGGAGCACCAGGCTTAATGGTGACAGCCTCACCTGGATCTAAAAAGGAAAACAAAAAAGGAAAGAGATTATAGCTTTACATTTTCCCCGCATCTGACTGAAGCATCACAAAGGCAGAATATATATATCCTGTAACTGCTTGAGCTACTGCCTCCTGGACCAACTATAGCTTCCAAGTGGTCTTCAGGCTGTAAACCAAGCTGCAGTTGTCCAGTCTTGAGGTCACGAAGGCATAGGTGATTGTGAGAACCTCCAGATCCAAGAACTATCACAATTGGTACACAAGTTATAATTGTGCAAAGGCCTCCCTGATCACAGCTGTTCCCTGCTATTCAAACAGTAGCAGTGGATCCAAGAGGATGCCAAAACTGCAAACCAGTTCAGGATGAGGGAGCATGACCCCATCTGTAACTAAAAATGGAAAGTGGTTACAGTTGGCTTCTGCATGCAGTTCAAGGTGCTTGTTGTGACCTTTAAAGCCCAACATGATTCAGGGCCTGATATATTCAAGACCACCTTCTCCCATTAGTGTTTGTGCATGCTCTGTAAAATCTGGAATGGAGGGCTTCCCCCAGAACCCTACTCCTAAGAATTGTTTCCATCAGGAACCATGGAGGAGGACCTTTTCTACTGCTGCCCCCCTAGAACAGCATTTCCCCAGTTATCAGGTTTCCCTCCCACCCAATTAGGATTTTAAAAAGCCATTAAGACCTGGCCTTTAGAGTCTGATTAAAATTTATTCTTTCCTTCAGTGGAAATACTGGATTGTTTATTGGTTGTTGTCCTTGATGCTTTTGCGTAGCTGTAGTTTAATTTTTCATTGCTTTTAATTCTGGCAGTGCATGGAGGAATGTTAGCTAATAAATTGCATATGATTGGAGTGGCATATAAGCCCAAGAAATAAGCAAGTAAATAAACATCCTTGACTTCAAAATACAAACCTAACCAGATATTCTGATTAAGTTAGATATATAATTCCCTCATAATAGGCAAATAATTTTTTCTTTCTCTTTTAAAAGCCAGCATTAGGCATGTGTATTTCCCAAAGATTTGTCACTATAAGAAACTAAACAGACAAAAACATGCTCTTGAACTAGTAAGTAATATGGAATCTGGCTGCTACTTAACTTATTAAAAATCTACAACAATACCTAAAATTAATCCTCACTTTTGCTAATATAAAGAATATGAGATGTATCTTTACTGGCTCTGTTCTCTAGTTCACAAGGGATGGATAACACTGCTCAAAATAGATTTATACTTTAAACATAATGAGGGAAGGAAGAAATGAGCTCCCATTCATTGTTTTTAGGTCCTTCGGCTTTAGCATCCTGAAATCACTTTGCCAGAGGTTAATCCAATTAAGACTGCCTAACAACTCTTACAATCTAACAGAAGATTCTTGAGAATTTGCGGAACTTGGGGCTCCAACTTTATGTTGAGGTCTCTCCTGTTTCACCACATCTATCAATAGTAACCATGCTGACTAGGATGATGGAAGCTGTAGTTTCAACCCATCTGGAGATTCCCAAACTGAGGAAGACCAGTGAGAAGATACATCTGTTTATAATTTGTAGGTAATGATATTTACCTTTGTTTCTGAAGAAGGCCTCAACATCTTCTTCCTCATCTTCTGAAAGTACAGTGGTATCTTTTAGAGAAGACACTTGAAACATATCCATGATGAAACCTTGGTAAGTCAAGGAAAAATTCAAATTAAAGGACAGGTAAAGTAAAAAAAACCAAGCACAGTCCAAGAAGGCAAAAACATTGATAACCATGGAGGTATTTAGACCTTTTGAAAAAGCATGTTTTTATGAAAACTGGATGATTAACAACTCACATTTTAATCAGGTTTTATCATGGTTATTTAAATGTATTTATGGATTATTGGTGCATTTTGTTTTTCTTATTACTTATTAGTTTGGATAATCAGTTTCCCCATTAGTTGGTTCAATCAAGATACGTCTGGAAACTGTATGCATACACACACACACACACACACACACACACACAAAGACATTGGCATCTTTAGTAAATTTGCTTAGTATGTTAACTATGGAACACTAACAAATGCGCACACAAAATTGTCATCTCCAATCCACCCTTTCTTTTGCAACTCAATGCTGGCTAAGAGATGTAAGCAAATGTGGAGAAGAACAAAATCCACTGAAATTAAATCAAGAGAGCAATTAATAGCAGAAGGATATCGTTGTCAATGGTTTCCCCATTTACAGTTATCAGAAAGATTCAAAATGGACAAGATGATTTATGGTATGGAGCAAAGTAAGACAAAGTATGAAGTACAATTGTACACTGATGATGAACACGTAATTATTAAAATGTATAAACTTTTGTTGAAATTCAAAATAGAGGAAGAACAGGTTAAAGAATGTATGATAAAGTGGGCTAAGAATTTTGATTATAGTACAGGTGGTCTCCGGGTTAAGAATGCCCGGTTTAAGGACAACCCATAGTTAAGAATGGAGCCTACTGTAGCAAAGTTCGTTGGTTATCGATGGTTGAATAC